ATAAAAAGATGAGGATTATCTTTCCTTGATGAAGTCGGCAAAGAAGACGGGCCTCCCCTTTATACGAATATAAATATTTGGACACGGGAGTCCTGATACGCGGTTGTTGATAAAAGGCAGCGTGGTCTTCGTGCAGTCTATGAAACCTTGAAGCAACGCCTCTGTACGTGAGGTCTTTGAAGTGCCGTTTTTCTTGTGAGTGTTTGGCATTGATTTCGTTCGTGCAATTATATCAATAATTTAGTATTCAAGCTGAGTAAATCTTGTAGTGAGATTTGGGTATAATTTCTTCACGAGATTGAGAGATTATTTCGTAAAAAATTATAAAGCTAAACAATGCATGATTATTAGGTGTAATTGGGGCTTAGGAAACACCGAGAGTGTTTGAGTGACTCGAATGTGGTTGTAATATTCGTTGTATCGCTTGATCTATAGTGAAATTTCGTGTTGCTCTTCCCGTGGACGTACGTCACTACGACCGAACCACGAAAATCTGATGTCCGATTTATTTTCTTGTTCTGTCAATTTTATTGTTCGATCGCTTGGCTTCCGCAACAACCATGACCATGAGGCATGTGAGTCTCCCCATGACAGTGTATAAATGAAGGAAGGGCAATGCAGTGATTTTGCCGTGCTCATTCGACGCAATGAAGAGTTTCTAATCGAACTGCTGACAACACGCATTAATCAAATGGCTGAGATATTAAAACACTTGAATAGGATGGCTGACAAGAAACATGACAGAATTGTAATGCACAAAATCACGGGATTGCAGAAATGGCTGTAACTTCACTTTTATCTTCGCTTCCAAACAGCAGAATCAATGTGTTTTCTTTCTCCGTAGTTTCTTCCCACAATTTTCTCCTGGTCCGACACACAGCGGAAAGGTTAAACAAAGAAATGAAGAAGACCAAAAGACGTCCGTCTAAATCTAAGAAGAGAAGTAAATAAAAATGGCAACTAATGAATCGAATAATTGAGAAGAGATGTTATAATGTAGGAAAATTCTTGCTTGAATCTGGATCCAGCGAATCAAATGCATCATAGGGGTTGATTTTGTGAGATCCATTCACATAGAACTCACAAAACCAACGATTATGATTCAACAAATTTAATGGACTTGAATTCAAAAGAAAAGTTTCTTATCACATGATCTACATAATACATGGGCAAAGGCTATTAATTATGTGGATCCTTTGCAAGACCCGTGTAATTATCTGTTACATGGATTTTTGCAAGATTACGGTCGCTAGAAACTCAATGGTTTCAATTAGTGATTAAAGTCCAACCAAGGACGATCGTTGGCTAATTAAATTGTTAAATGACTTCAAATCAAAAATGGACTCCAATATGCCTTGAAACCTTGAAACCTCAAGGACTTTGCAACATCCGGATTACTAAATAATGCACGAACAGTAGATTGGAGACAACAAGGAATTTGCATGAATTTTATTGAATAAGAACAGATGGTGTACATTCTTGGAGGCTATGTTTGCAAATTGTCTGACGGCAAACATAATCTGTTAATGGAAATGACTGGAGTGCATAGAGAATGTAAAAAGCTTACAAAAAACGACTGGAAAGCTTTTATCGATAAAAATGAGCATTAGAATAAGCGAACCCACTCTAATTCGAAATTCAAATTCAGACTTCGGCAAAATCTAATCAAAATACATATATTAAGAATGATCTTCTCATCTTCAAATCTTCAGAGTCAAAATCTGACGTGCTGTTGTGATTTGTGTGACGTCTTTGATTACTGATGATTTTCCTCTTTTCCTTGTTTCTTCTTGTATATTTAAATGGGCCATTTAGTTATGTATTTTGATTTTTCACTTGCATGAATCTCTAATTGTCTCGACTTGCGCTCCACTCTAGGGATAATTTGTGCTCTGGATTCTTTAGCTCTGGTTATCCCTCGGTCGATGAATCCTTTTTGACTTGATCTTCAACTTCTATGCATGCTTTGAATCAAAACGATTATCGCCACGTGTCATATACTCTACTTAAATTCTGCCTGGTAAAAACGCATTATCAATGAGCTCATTAGGCATTATCAATGAGCTCATTAGACATTCTATCGACGGGTTTTGTGGATTAATTGTATCGTCATGACCTATCAATGAGCTTGTTAAATATATTGCCATGACCTGATTTTGGCCAACCGTTTCTTTATATTTTGGTCTACTGTCAATATTAACAATTCAGCTGGACATAGATTTATATGATGTAAAGATTATGCCATATTTTTCACGTTGAGACTCCTAGCAAGTGCCATAATCCATATCGGTACACCAAGTAATTTTCACCTGGAGGATGTAAGCAATGACGTCATGCAAACTTTTTAGAAGAGGCAAAAATAAAAAAAAATTGTGGGGAGAAACTCCGACAGCATTTCTAAATTCAATGACATCTTTTAAAGTGCAAATTATAATCATTTTGTTTTCGGTTCCTGTTTCTAGTCAGAAATATTTTTTTTATTTCTATTCCCTAGACGAGTTTTTGAATAAAAAGTAGCGTTTGATAACAATATCAAATTTCTATTTTCGGAACAGAAATTCGTTTGACAACGTTGATGTAGAATTCGTACATCGGTGGGTGGGCGACAGGCGATGTGGGGCGGGCAAGGAGGGTAAGCTTTGAGAAGAATTATTATTTATGTTTTTGGAACAGAAACAGAAAAGTCGAAAATTTTCACTTTTCATTTCTATTCAAAACCTATTTTTGGGCTGAAAAATTGTCCTAGAAAATAAATTTGCATTGCCAAAAAGGATTTTTGTTCCAAATCTGTTTCCAGGAACAGAAAAATAGAAAAATAAAGAAACAAAATAATTATCATTTGCATCTTAAGTCGCTCAACGTTGGGCCAAAAAAGTGATGTACAAAGATGCCCTTGCGTGTAATGTGTTCAAATTTTATAAGAGTCCTCAATAATTTCATAAATAATTGTTCCATTTTCTGTCATAAAATTAGTTACATGTTGGTAATATTCAAGCAAGTAATCCACTAATCATGAGCATATAGCAGAAAATTACTTTCGACTAACATTGGAGGAAAACATGCTCCCAGTAAAAAATAAATCGCCAAATGTAGGTACGGAAACTAGTTAAGTTGGATTTCTAGGTCGCAGAGGTTTTCCAGATATTCAAGCATAATTAGCAAAGACGGGCGAGGCCTTCTCTAGCTTTCCCATGAAATTACTGGTTGTTCGAAACCATCAATAGCTCATTGTTATGGTAGCGGACCATCTCTACATGATAAAGTAAATCCAATACCACTCTCAACTTTCACCCGAAACTTCCGAAAATAACCACGACCGAAAATTAATGAATAATAAGTATGTATTTTAAACAAATGGTTAAAATGGTAATTTATAAAGATCCACAAAAAAATTATGTTATGCAAAAATCTCTACCACAGATTGTAAATTCTAATTGAAGCTTTTCCATCCTCTGACACTTTAAATTAATTGCTATACTAAGCTCTATCTCACTTCTTCATTCGGTTTATCTTATCTTTTTTCGATTTTAGCACACCCATGTGCCTGCGCCCCTTTTCTGTGCTAGTGTTCTCAAAATGCATGTATCGCTCTGCATATACTTCTAACCAACAAAATCGAGTCATTTTGTGGACCTTTGTAAATCAAATCAACCCAAACAATTCTTCTCTCCTCCTTCATGGTTGCGACGCGTCAAGGGTTTACGATAACTCTCTACAATGCTGCCATAAAACTAGGTATGCAAAATCGGAATCTTATTTCATCGAAAGGTAGGAGTGTTTTGATTTGATGGGTGAACTAAATATTTTAGTACATATCCAGTTATATATATATGGGTGAACAAAATATTTTAGTACATATCCAGTTACATATATATATATATATATCAAATTGAAATGGCTCACATTCACCTTGACAAGGAAGGCAAACACTGCCTGATCCCAATTTGGACCGAAAATGATCAGACTCTCTTCCCCAAAAAAACTCCCCTCAAAGTTTATAAAATTTACTAGGGTGCCATTGTGAGGGTGTCGATCTATTTGTTGGTTCTATTAAAATATTTAAATATTAAATCACGCATTTATCTAATAACTTAAATTTTTAAAATAATTGTCAGTGGTCTCACAAAATATCACATGGTATCAGAGTAGAAGGTGATGAGTTTAAATCTTTCAGGCCCCTATTTGCCTCTCCTATTGCATATTTAAATAGTAAATATTATATTATGCTTTTATCTAATAACTTATGTTTTAAGAACAATTCACTACAAAATCTCACATGTCCATGTAGCAAAGCCCAAAAACAACTTCCTACTTGAGGCATAGTAAGCAATGACATCATACGAACTTTGGAGAAGAGGCAAGCATGTGACCTCCCTATGGGGAGGAACTTTGGCAGCATTCTTTTATGTAGCAAGCATGTGTACAATTCGAGAAGAGCCCTCAATAATATCTTGCATAATTGCACATTTTCAGACCTGTCTCTGTCCCACGATGCACGTGAAAAACGTTCCATCTCTATTCTTTCAAATATGAGCTAATTTCATTGATTAACCTTCCATCTAAAATTTTTATCAACCCATTTTCCTTAATTTTCGAAAGATAACATAAATACCACATTCAGTTAATTCTTTTTTTCTTAGAAATAATTGTGATTTAAGCTTTTGAGAGTACCCATATTAAGGTAAATGTATATAAAAATTTTATTACTTGAGGATAACGATGTTCTCATTTTACAAGGAGGATACACTACCCCAATCCAATAAAAAAACTCATTGAAATATTTGTTTGCAAAGAAGGGGATGGTGGAAGAAAAGGAAAAAATAATTATGTGTTCCACTTGTATCTTTATTTTAGTATATTTTCCAAATTCACACATTTGTATATAAAAGTTATTTCCTTAAAATTTCTGATGTCATAAAATTTGGAAATGAAGACGTCATTCAGGAAAAGGGGGTGGTACATCATCATCTGCAGCTGGAACTTTGGCTCCATCCACAATTCGGTGTATAAAAGGAGAAGAGCCATGAGAACATAAACTATAACTTCGACTTCAACCCCGTAAAAATACCTTCGATTCTCTGCTTTCAGATTTTTACCTCCTCGCGAGACAGCGTAGCAAAGAATTCTCATAAAAGAAAAAGGAGATGGCAACAACTGCGACTTCAACCCCAGAATTTCGGATTGATCCATCGCCAGGTATGTTCCGTCCTTCGCTTTGTTATTCGATTTGATCCATAGGGCATAAGGCGATGGAAAAATTGGAAAATTTTCGCTTTTTGAGTGTAAATTTCGAAGTAATATAAGGAACTTCACGAACAACATCATGGATTGATAATGCGTTGAAAATGGAAATATTTCCTTATTTATTGCTTATTAAGTGTTCGGACACTTTTTTCAAAATCCTGAAGGAAAGAAGGAGAGAGTGTGAAAGAAGAATAATTTCCATAGAGCTTGAGGGCATTATTTTCCCATTTCGTGTTTTCCTTTCAAAATTCCCAATGAATATACGTTTGGCAAAAATTTTGGTTGCCGTGTTTTCAAATTTTTACCTTAAAGCTGAAAACGGCCGAAATGGACATTATATATATTTTTTTACAAGGATTGCTTTAAAAAACTACACCAACGGAAAATGACTTCTAAAATATTTGGAAAGTCGAACTAAATCCTCAGAAAATAATAGTATTCCTTTTGACAAAAAAAAAAACTTGCTTGAAAATTATTCAAGGAAATAATTCTTTTTGTCCCCGCAATTTTTCGCAGGGTGAGTTAATTGTCATCAAAGTACATCATAAGGTCTGATAAAAAAAAAAGTACATTATAAGGACTGACGTTATAACCAAACAAAGTACATTATTAAATACAGCTGATTGATTCACTTTCTCGGCCCATGGGCATCACTATTCCTTTTTACTTTTAAGTACACAGTAAACACGCGAAATGTCTTACTCAAAGTCGAACCTTAGTTTAATATAGAAAATTCCATGCAATGAATGAACCCTATACATAAAGGATCAGAAGCATATAAAGTTCCGTTCGTTTCGCGAAAAATGTGGCAATTCTAGTTCCAGGAAACTATTTTTCAAGAAAATGATAATATTTTTCACTATTCAATTGAAATCTGAAAATAAACTAGAAAAAATTTTCTGTTATTTTTATATGAAAAATCTGAATTAATTTTCCTCTGTGCACTCCTTTTAATAATAATAATAATAATAATATTTATTATTATTTTATTTTTAAAAAATCAAATTATTTATATTTATATTTATTTTTTCCTTTTTTTTTGGTTCTCTTTTTCCTTCTTCTTCAGTCAATAGCCGGCCACGGTGATGGTTGGCCACAGGCAAGCTCGAGCTCGCCAAATTCTGGTGAATCGAGCCTTGGGAGAGGCTCCACCTTGCTCGGCAAGGCCTCACTAGATCGGCGAGGCTTGAGGCTTGCCGGAGGTTAGCGAGCTTTTCCCTCGCCTATGGTCGATCGTCGGCCGTCACCGTGGCTGGCGACCAAAGGAAGAGGGAAAAAGAAAACGAAGGAAAAGTAAAAAGAAAAAGAGAAAATATAATTGAAATTTCTATTAAAAAGAAAAATAAAAAAAGAAAAGGAAAAAGAAAAAAAATAATTAAAAAGAGTGCATGGAGGAGAACATGCCTGGTCTGGGTGAAAAAAAGAGGAGGGAAAATGAGATCCTCTTATTTTCCCTACTTTTGAAAGTGCTTTTTCCATTAACGGAAAATGTATTCCTTCAGTCATTTATTTTTCGTGAATTGAATGTCGGAAAAATCTGAAAAATATTTTTCTGGAATTTGTTTTCCTCGAAACCAGCAGAGCCAAAGTATGAATGATTTTTCTAAAGTTATCTATGATCATTTCTCTTTTTGGTTACAAAGAGATTCATGGAGATGTGATTTCAAAAGGCACACCGACTGATAAAGCTTCGCAGGAAGGTCTCAGACCAACTGAAGGTTTATCTCTTTGAACTTTTAATTTTCCTTTTATGTAAAATCTCGTGTTTCATGCATCTTTTACCTTTTTAAATTCGAATCATTTTAAGTTTCACAGAATACAATTGTTGACATATAAATAAAGATACAATCTTTTCATAATTTTAAAAATCTAAATAATATCTTCAATTATAAATTGAGAAGGCCAAGAAAGAAATACTTTTTTTACTTCCAAAGAGTAAAAGAAGGCATTCAAAATTTATGAATGATATCGTGGATAAGATAAATGGCAACAAGAAATAAAAACTTACTAAAAAACACATTGTCCAAGATATGAAAGTTAGAAAGCCCCACAAAACTATTTCATGATACAATGCCTATCTTGAAAAATATTCACGATCTTGGTTAAGTTTGATGTTAATCCTTTTTTTATGTTTAAAATTTTCCTGTCTAACTTTAATGCACAAAATTTCATGCAATGAATGAGCTGATGATCTAAAGCATACAAAGTTTAATTAATTTTTCTAAGATTTTTATGTTGATTTCTCATTTAGGTAACAAAGAGGTTCACGTAAACGTGAGTCCAGAAGGCCCGATAACTGGTATGTTCCGTTCTTTTCTTTGTTCTTCTAAATTGATCCCATAAGGCGATGGAAAATTTGGAAAAAGTTTCGCTTTTTGTGTGTTAAAATCGAAGTCATACAATCAATATCATGGACAGATAATGTATTGAAAAATACGATTTTTTTTAAATTGCTATATAAGCAATGGCGGCCACCAAATACAGCCGATCGATTCAAAATATTAGTTCTATTAAAACAAGTTCTCCTGCTAAACTATTAGCATCAATAAAAAAAAATTTGGCAGACATGAAAAAGAAGAAATGTTCGATTATTATTTTTTTTTTCAAATTTTGAATTGAAAGGATATACATAGAAGCACTCAATGACTGCTTCATTAAAATTAATTACCGGAAAATTTCCTCTTATACGAGAGTTCTGTCTAAGCAATTACCTCGTGAGGACTATCTATTTTCCAATATTTACTTAATATGCGAATTGAATTTGCAGCTGATTATCCTAGAAACCAATTTCATCAAGAGCAGAGGGCAAAACAAATGGGTTCTAAATAGTAGATAGATGCTTATCATTGAAAGGCTACACGAGACTATTCCTTTGATGAAATGATCCTCGAACTAGTCAATTCACTATAGTCATCCCCAAAAAAGAAATCCTGTAATGTTATTCTGAGCCAAAAATAACTTGTTGATAGAAATGGTTGTCACTAATATGACAAAGTGTAAAGATAACATTAAAGAAGAAAATTCACTAACAAAATATTGCCCAAGGTACATGGATGGTGGAATGTACTTGCCACGAAAACAAGAACGAATCACATGAATTTTTTAAGATAAATTAGATCAATTATTTTTCCCAACCATCAAGTATAAAGTTTAAGCTGTACAATTTACTTAAGAAAAAATCCATGCAATTCATTGGTATGATCATCGTAATAATCTTATAAACATGTATCCTATATCAATTGTGACTTATAAATTTATCGTATTAATTGATGAAATCGATGTGATTAAGTTAATTAATTTATTTTTATTTATGTACAACTCTGTTATGATAATTATGTGAAATTGTGGAGATAGATACAATTTTGTAGACTTAATTTATGAATGATATCATAGATAAAATCAATGGCAACGAGAAATAAGAACTCACTAAAAAGCACATTGTCCAATATATGAAAGTTAGAAGGTCCCATAAAAATAATTTATGATACAATACCATCTTGAAAAAAAGTCATAATCTATGTTAAGTTTAACGTTAAAATATTTTTTGTTTAAAAATGTAATCTTTATACAGAAAATTCCATGCAATGACTGAGCCTAATGCTAGGCATGTATAGATGATTTAAAGCATACAAAGTATAATTAAATTTTCTAAGGTTATTTATGTTCATTTCTCTTTTTGTTAACAAAGTGGCTAACGAAGAAGGAGAAGGTGCGGCAACTAATAAAGGTTTGTCATTTTGAACTGTTAATTTTTTTTATAAATTTAAGTTTCATGCATTTTGACATTTTTTTGTCAAAAATATTTTAGATTTTAAGCATACAAATGCTAACATATAACTTCAAATATAATCTTTTCATAATTTTTAGAATCTGAACAATATCTTTAATTATAATTGAGAAAGCCCAAAAAAAAATTTACTTCCAAAGAGTAAATAAACACACTCATAGAAAAATGTGTGTTGAGTAAACGGCCGCCGCTTGGCTTGCATTTGCATTTCATCGGAACTTTGAGCAAGTGCAATAATTACACTAGACCTAAAAACCAAGAAGTGCAGAAGCCTGAGAACTTTTAACGTGCGATTTTTGTAGTCATGCCAGGAGCGGTGGTCGATAACGAGGATCGAGAATTGTTTGCTGCTGCACTGATGGGAGATTGGAAATATGTCCAGCAAAAGGTCTCTCAATATAGCGAAGCAATGATGGCCAAAGTTATGACCGTAGGACATGAATCTATTACTGTGCTCGATGTTGCGGTTATTGCCACACAAGATCAATTGGTCGAGAACCTAGTAAAGCTCCTAAGTTCAAAAGATGAAAATGAAACTTTAACGAGGGCCCTCTGCAATGCTGCTCGGGGTGGAAGAATAAGGATGGTAAAGGCATTAGTAGACAAAATTAATTTTAAACCTGAAAGTGTAGCCCTTGCCCTAAAGACTGCTATTTCATGGGCTCCTATGCAAAAGGAGGTTATTGGGTACCTGGCCAAGCGTATATCCGCCCCAGATGATGATATTATCAGCAGCCTTACTATGGCCGGTCATATGGGTAGGATTTAACACTCACTAATCTTATTTCATTTTATACACTATTTACTTGAATTAACTTTTTTGTTCTTGTGTCCCAAAAGACATAGTCTTCTTCTTAGAAGACCCACACCCCAGGCTACCTGCAACAGAAGATACCAAACTCGATAGAGTGTTGGAATACTTGGTGCCTATGATGTCTTACTTCCGTAGTAGAGCTAGACTCAGCTTTTGGGAAAATATTATTTCCAAATGTAGGTGATTCTAGCGCTTCTTTTGTTAAATGTGTACAATTCAAGCAACTCTCTATCCACATGGTATTCACTCTATCTGTTACGATTTTTAGGTATCCCTCTATGCTTGATCAATAAATTATTTCACAACTGCGAAGAAACGAAGTTGCCCAAAGGTATTTTTATGAATCTGCTTAATTGATGGGCTAACACAACAAAAAGCATATCATTCAAAGATCCTATCAACAAAAAATTGAAGGAACAATTACTACATCTATGTATACAGTTTAATATCTAAAACATGAGGTAGGTCACAAACTAATGTCATATATAAAAGTTGTAAAGTAAGAGAAGTCTTACTCAATGTCAAATTGTTAGGTAGAATTATTGAGAACTGTAGATTTGGATTTCATCATAGAGGTTGATTGATGCAAGTTGTTTTCTAACATATTCAAGCATTATTAAATTTCATTGCATGTGCAATTTTGGTTTCATGAGTGTGATATGTATCTTTTTGTTCGTCATAAATATTTAATTTGCTGACATGATTTTTCTCTCCTCTTTGTGGCGGTAGCAATGCTGTTCATGATATCACTCTTGAATCTGGCCACAAAACTAGGTACACAAAACTGACATGGTATCTATAGGAAAAAGGACCTTATTTCATCGTAGGTGGAGATCTCTAAATTTAAAGTGTAAATTGATATTTTCAGTATATCCCTTGAGATCATAGGTATTAAGATGGACAAACTCTCAATTCGTATATGAAGATATGATTAGGTTCAATTCAATTCAAAGTCTAAATGATATATATCCTTTAGGTAAATCTGTAAAAATATTCAATCGAAGATAGATTTATTGATCCATCATTGAATCTTCCCATTTTTCATAAAAGAAAAAATGAACTTTTTTTTTCTCATGACATTGCGTGTGTTCATCAATACATCCACCTATTCTCTGATGCATGCATTTTGACTTTCAAGTCATATGATGTTTGTTTTCTTGATTAATATTGTACACCCATCATTTTCTTCTAAACTACTATGTATAAGTAACAACACGGCGCAAATGTGAAAGCCTCTTTGACCTTTTGCTTCTTCCTTGTTAGAAAAATTGCTTATCTAATAATATGTGCAGATTCTTTCATAAGAAGGATTGTAGAATCGAAGTCGAGGGACACATTTGGAATTCTAACTCTTTTCATGAAGATAGTTACCAAGGATTTTCCTACAATACGCAAGCTTTTATTGACTTCAAACATTGTCATTGATGCTGCATCTCGTGGAATCTCTGAGTTTGTCCATGTATGTTTGATTGTTTGTCCGGAGCTGATGTGGGAAAAAAATTTCACAAAAGAACTGATAAAAGAAGTTGTGAAGGGACGGCATGTCAAGTTGTTTAGACTACTGAGCGCACACAACACAACTCCATATTTGATTGATGATAAGTTGACGAGACGCAGCTTGATGGAGGCAGTTGTAGAATGGTCACCAAGATGTGTGTCAGCTGATGTTTCTGGAGCAGCTTTTCTTATACAGAGGGAACTCCAGTGGTTTAAGGTTGGTTGACCTTATTTACCTTCCACACTTTCGTGCTTTCTAATTTACATCTATATTGATAGGTGTCCTTAATTTTTCTGAAGGCAGTGGAAGATATGAGCGATCCTTCTTCAAAAAGTCTGAAGTTTAAGGTCGGTTCACCTTATTTGTCTGCCACCCTTTTGTGCTCTTTAATTACATTTACATTGATATGCGTCCTTTATTTTTCCGAAGGTATCAAAAGAGGAAGATGGGAGCGATCCTTCTTTTAAGAGTCTGAAATTTGAAGATGTAAAAGAAAGGAGAGGGAAAACATACTGGGAAGTTTTTGTAGAACAACGCCAAGATTTGCTCAAAGAGGCTGGACAATGGATGAAGGATACATCATCATCTTGTAGCCTTGTTGCGACTCTCATCATTACAGTTGCTTTTGCTGCAGCTTTTACAGTACCTGGAGGCAACGACAGCAGTACGGGGATCCCAATCTTTCTGAAGAAGAGCTCATTTATTGTATTTGCAATTGCAGACGCTCTCGCTCTCTTCTCCTCCGTCACCGCCACCTTGATGTTCTTGGCTATCCTAACTTCACGTTACGCCATTGAAGATTTCCTCCAATCGCTACCGAGAAAAATGATATTGGGCCTCACTTTTCTCTTCCTCTCTTTGGCCTTTATGATGATGGCGTTTGGCTCTGCTCTTACGATCGTCTTAAGCGAACGATTAAAGTGGATTTACATCCCAATTACTTTGCTGGCCGCCTTCCCAATCATATTGTTTGCAATCCTACAACTTCCCTTGTATGTTGAAATGGTCGAATCCACCTGTTTGCCTCCCCTCTACCGTCCCATTAACATTTGGAAATAATCTCCACTATTATTAGACAAAGACATCTGTAATGTCATCTTTGTTTGCATATGTTACTGTGTGTGATGCGAATATCATGCTTTCCTCATTTTAAAGACTTGAAGTGTAACATCAATCGTACTTGCACTAAAGTTTAATACATGCTGTCAAGTGCACACCTTGCCGCAATGTGTTAATGTGATTATTTCCCCACAAACAGTGAGCTTGCTCATTCTTGTATTAAGGTGAACCCAATTTTCAAAGAATAGCAACATGATCATCAAATATTCAAGAGGTTTCATCCATTCAAACAAAAGCAATGATCCAGACAAATTCTCTATAGTACCCATAATGGCCACCCAACTAGTGGCCCAACACAAGGAACTTCTGATGTAGCAAGCCGAGCAAACAACAATTTCAGTTCAATGGAAGCTCAGCCTTCGAAATCAGTCTTTCTCCCACTGCCCATACTTACACCTCATCCTCTCATCAAACTCTTTGGCTTTGACCTGCACAATCTTAGCCGCGTTGGCCATCGATTCCTCCGGCACTTTCGCTATCCTCATGCTCTGGTTCTTCTCCATCACGTTCCTTTTTGCACCCAACCCTTCGTACTCCCTCACCCAGCAACGGTGAACGGTGTACGTTGTAAGAGTTTTTCTAACGTGGACTAAATTAATTGAGATTGTAATTTACCGTTTTACAGGATTGATTTAATAAAGAAAGATTTAAAGATTCTTAATTAGTCTAATATGAGACTAGCCAGTGTGGGCCGAGTAAAGCCCGGCCTGTGATAAAAGGGCCTGTGGCTTAAAACTCTATAAATAGTGCTCAAGTATCTCCTCTAACCTCGATGCACAACAACCTCACATAAGAAGCACACGCTAATTGTGATGAGCAGTCTCATTGAGCTAGTGATACAAAGGGTAATAGAGGAGAAGGACTTGCGCTGATGATCATCGCTATTCCGCATCAAGAACGATGGATCCCAAAATATGTGCGCAAATCTCTTTTACTTAATCATAAATGTTCTAGATTCTAGCTATAGAAATCTTGGGTGTTGTTTTTCGCGGCCAATATGTGGTATCAGAGTCAACATAGTATAGGTCTAGAACATACAGATTTTTCCCATTATCATGATCTTTCGTCTGTCAAATAATGATTATGATTAAATAATCGGAGAGAGCTCGTCAAGACAAGCATTTTGAGTGGTAGTGTACCACCAAGGGACGCCGCACGTACCCCCACGTGCGGCCACACCCTGTGACACGCGGGCTAGCGTTGACGTCAGCCACCCGTGACACAGGTTGACCCGACCTGGTAAGCGATTGGGGTCGCCCAACCCGGGATTTGACCCGACTTTGTTGATCGGATCGATCAACCGGTTGGACCGGTTCGTTGACTGTTGATTGGTTGGATTGGTCGAATCGGCGGTCCAAGCTAGTTTAGATCGGCTAAACGCGTGCCACACACACCACGCACTCCAGTGGCGCGTGAGGGCGTGTTCGAGCTATGATTGGAGCGTTCTTGACATTACCGTGCTCGTATCGAGATGCTCTACACTGTGATGTATTTATTTTATAATTTATATGCTTTTAAGGATGAAAAAATCCGTATAGAACCCTATATATGTGTATTTTTAGGGTATTTTCTACTTATTTTCCTATATTTCTCTTTGGTTTCGGAAATACAAATGCTAGCTCGCATGTATATCATCACATACAGAATGTGTAGAGCGTGATTCGTTGACAGCATGTATAATGTTTAAAAAGAATAAATGAGTGGAGTAATGTAATTGGCATGGCATGTGATTTTTGTCACAAATTGCCTATCTTTAAGTCTAAAATCACATGTATGTGGTAAATGTGAGACATAAAGTTTATATCCCTGGTATGAGAGAGTTTCGAGGATTTGATCGGGTTATGACCGCCAAAGTGGCACACTTAATTAGATTTGAGAAATATCGGTCTCATATTGTGGTGGGATGTCGTCTGTTCTAATGGAAGGTCATACCAAGCAGGTGATTGTGCACTGATTCATGGAGGGGCACATGTACAACATATGGTTGAAAAGTGACTCATCCCGGTGGTTTATACACCCAAAGGTGGTGAATTCATGATGGTTGGAATATATTTTCATGGCCGTTATCATGTGAAGAGTATATAGCTGCATGTCGTATATTCTGCCCAAAGGTATTTATATGATAATGTATGTAACTCTCGGGATCTATACTTATACAGTTTCAAGTTACACGATACTCACATAATGCTAATTGTAAACATTGCTTGTCAAATCAGTCACTTTATCTGAAAACGGCAACTCTATTAGGATTGAAGCTCTTTCTGGTTCAGACTTTAAGAAATGGTTGGAAAGAAGATTTTCTATTTGGGATGAAGCTAGCAGATATTTATATTGCTCTTATTAAGGAAAACCTAGCAGATCTCACTGCCACCAGTACGGATCCCGAGAAAGCACACTTTGCTGCTTGGGAAAAGAGCAATTGGATTTGCTTGTTATCGATGAAGCAATCCATTCAGGAACACTTGAAAAGTGGTTTACTAGCTGACTGTACTGCTAAACAAATAATGGAAGCCTTGGTGGCTTGAAACCTTGTCTCGTCTAATGTTGAGATTATGATACATCTGCAAGGACTCTTCAATTTAAGGCATAATGGTTCTGCTGGGTTAGAGACAAGATGGTAGACTTGAAGTCCAAAAAAATCTTTGCAATTGTAAAAATGCACCCTTGGGTCCGCCACTTCAGCAATTCGTTAAAAATTTGGCTGAACTTTCGGGCAAAAGTACAAAAAGCATAGAACAATTGAGGGATCGAAATCGAAATTCATGGTTTAGTTCTGATTTTTTTACCTGGGGTTTACACTCTCTCCTCCTATATTTTGCTCCGAATAGGAAGAAACAATCTTTCATGTGGACAAGAAATGGTCATGTGGAGAAGAAATGGTCTCCCGACTGAAACCTGGGCCTATTGATTGGGCTCGATAATAGAGAGGTCACTTCGTTTAGGCACGCACAAAGCAGTTGTTTTTGTAGTATCGAGGTCTCCAACTATACGTTCACACATAATGGGGGTCGATAGAAATTGAAATACTTCATAGTACAAAGCCAAAATATTGTCCGGGATTATAAACTATGTCATCTAGGGGTGATCGGTTCCCAAGATGGGTAGGTTCTCCACCTAAAATTGGAAACCAACCCTGTGACTCGAACTACATCTCGATTATGCCAACTCGAATGTTAGCTCGCCGAAGGCAAAGCGAATCTAGGACTACCAGCTCAACATGCTCGACGATTTAGAGGATGTCACAAATCAAGATTTGACAATCCAATGCCTCAATTTCGTCACCGAATTTTGGTCCGGCCGCCTCCGTGTCTTCTCTTGCAAGTGGGGGTGATCGGTTCCAGGGTTGGTAGGTTCTAAACTTGGAACTTGGAACCTACCCTATTTGCCTTAGAACCTGTTTTGGAACTTACCATGTTTTTTCGGTCTGGTTCCAGGTCTATCCAAGAACCTATTTTTCTTTTGTTCCTTTTCCCGGTTTCATTTTTTCCAGCAAAATAATATGAGTAGCAATAAAACGATTCATAGTAAAAATCAATAAGAAAAATCACTATTCGCCAAAAGCAACAATCCCTCATATGAACAATACAAATTACTATCCACCAAAAGCAACAATCCAAAATATAGTAATAGTATGACCTAGGTTTTTTTTTTTTTTTAACACAAGCTAAAAATCGGCTCCAAAACAGGTCGGGTCTGTTCGGTTCCAGGGTGGGTCTTCACTTGGAACCTGGAATCGGACTTGGAACTGGACCGGTTCCCAAAAAATGGAACCGGTTCTCAAACTTGTTTTTCGGGTGATCCGGTTTGGTTCTTGGGTTGCACAACCCAACTAGCAAGGACCGTTGCGAGTTCCACCTTGAGGGTCCAGGCTCCGGCGAGCTCTTCGTCGGCTGCTTTGTCCACCCACAACTCTGTGCTCTGGATCAATGAAGCTAGGGGGAAGCATGCTTTCATCGAGCTGGGGTTCACGGAGTGGAACGGGGCCTTGGATTTCAATGTGCACAAAGAACTCTACTATGAGGATCTAAGACAATCAAGCGAAAATAAGAGAGAGAAAGATCGAATGGCGCCTCTGGAGAGAGGAGCCAAACTTCAAATGAGTGAAACTAGAGAGTAGATAGAGCTAGATTTGAAGTGAGAAAGTGAAAAACAAGAAAGCCGAATGTGAGAAACTTAAACTCAGGTTGTGTGTTGGACCGGTTCGGTCCAAGTTCTACCTAATAACCAACCTTGCAATATCGGTTCCCGGGTAGAATCGACAGTGCAGGACCTGAACCGGAAATTGGATCGGTCAAGGCTGGTTCCAAATTTTCGAGACCAAGAACCAGCCTTAAACAAACTAATTCATTCCTATTCCGGGACTGATGATCACCCTTAATGTTATTGACTAATTAATTTGGTTAATGTAGTTCAATTGCAACGTTGTCACTTATCACAAATAAAAATCGACGTACTTCAAACACCTTACCAATGGTAGTTTCCACGTTCTCAATCATTGATGAATATTGCGAAATTAAATAAATAAAAGGAAATTTTTTCATATTAGGATATCAAACTACACCTTCATAAAATGGTTTAAACTTTTAAAATAGTTGACAATGATTTCACAAAATCTCATATTTCATTTCACAATGAAGAACTATTTCTTGAATTCATCTCATTTTACCGTTCTACTTTTACAAGTAACCACCTATCTGACCACTAGCGCTAATTTGACGGCAGGCACCATCTCTGTCTCCGGCCACTTCCATGGCTTCGCAACATTGTAGTGTTACCCAACGTACTTTATCCTATTCGAATTCATAAATTGGGGTTATGGCGTTATGCAACATTATAGCCTTCACACATCCAATAAGGCAACAAGAGGTCAGTTATATACACATGACAGAGTGATTGATCATCCTACAAGCACGACAAGACATCCCCATGTTGGTGTCTGGTGGTAAATCACGGAGGTCTGGCCTGATCCTCATAAAGGTACCAAGCACGAAGCTGCTCTTTGCTCAAATGCTGGTGGGTGGTGGCAAGGGCGGTTCGGCTTGGTCTTAACTTAATTCGCAATGCTATCGAACTTCGGAGGTGCACCTAACACGCCACGACAACACGTTTTGTCTCTTCTGCTCCACCCGCAAACTGCTCGCAGAAGAAAGACTCAGGAGTTGGTTCTCTTGTCTCCATCCATTACGCTAATCATGTCGTTGACGCCTTCTCGAATCAACGGTTTTCTCAGCCCCTGGGAAGAAGAAGAATCAAGATCCGAAGGCCGAAAATGATCATTTGCGTCGACAAAACAATTAGTTTTTACTCATAATCTGTACCCCTTTCTGGACTGTGGAGACATATAATAAGAAAAGAATGATGGGAACCGCAGGACATGTTGGTATTGAATTAGGTCTTGATGCATAACATTTACGTCTAAAATTAGTAGCAGCCGGTACGCTTTGGATCCCAACGATGCACCAGTTCGGTGATTGGTTTCTGCATATATTAATAGGACGATGTTGGGTACAGCTGAAGGTAGAGGTAGCGTATTGAGAAACTCAAATTAGGTTTGAAAAATTGGTAAGCTGTTCTCGCGAAAGACGTAAAGAGATTCGAACCGATCCTCTATCGTGTGCATGAGATGGTCGAGCCTTCAGAAGTTATCCTCCGAAGGCTACGTTGACCCGTTTTGTGGGAGACCATTTAAAATAATAAACCATGCCTTCATTTATCAATTTAAGTATTTAAAAAAGTTGAGCGTGATCTCATTGAATTTTTACATAATACTGGAGCAGGAGGTTTGAAGTTCTAATATTTCCAAGCCAATGTTTGCTTCTCTTATTAAATATTTCCATTGGAGCATCATAATATCTCAATATTAAACAAAGTTTTCATCTATCGGTTTAAAGTTTCAAAACAGTCGGCATGGATCCCACAAAATGTTTTATTTTCTTGGTCTATATGTAATCTGAATTATCTTTTCCGTGATTCACGAACTGACTTATTTTAGAGGTAGTGCTTCCATCATTGGATCTCATCTGCACTCAAACGAAAAGAGAAGATTTTATACCTCCCGACACTAAAATTGTCACATACTAAAGAATTAGATAAATCGTGAGCGTCCAATCTATATACAAATGAAATCCAGCTATAGATTCATTGGCTTTAACGTAAGAACTTCAACGAGGGTTGTTTTCTTCTCGCATCTTATAGCAAATGACACATGGTGAGAATTTGTTTCCCTTTATTTGCATATACTTAGGATTATCTTGTGTTAAATGCTGATAAGTTTGTCGGGGAAGGCCTAACCATAGGAATGCATTTTAAATTAAGATGGAAGACAGCAGCAGTTTAAATCATTTGTCAAACCATGCAGGCTTTTGTCTTCACTTGCTTAGGGTTCGGTGGTGCCGGGACGTGCCCTTATTTCTTAATTCACTGCGCCTCAATCGACTTTCATTTGTCTTGACTTTTCAATATAAATATACATACATACATACATATTTCTGTACATAATTATATAGATGTGTGTGTGTTTTGTCCGTTTAGGGTTTTTTTTTTGTGCAGCCAGCTATAGAAAATGCTTAAAGTTCGATTGAACTTGGAAAGTCTCCAATGACATTCTTTATCTCCTGCATCAACAGTGTCAATTGCTGATAGAGGGGACAAGGCACCGACCCAGATGGAAAGATCCACGTCTCTGAAGGCACTTTTTAGGAAAGTTTATCTTGTTAAGAGTTGCCCCAAAATCATATAACAAAATGTGCCAATCTTCTTTTTATTATTTGAAAAGGGTGATGCAGTCAATGACTCATATGGATGGGAATCTCTTATACAAAATCTCGTATCTTTTAAGTGCGTAAAGCATGTGAAAGTTATTGCAAAAATAAGTGTTTTGTTGATCATTTTATTTTAATAGAGCGCTAAGCTTGGATCAAAATTATTTACTTAGAAAACGACCAAAGTATAGTTCTCTTTCGACCCAATAACCGTTTTCGTATCTCTAGTTTTGCCAATGCCGTTAACATTCCTCGAGTAAGTGATCGTTGGGTGAAATGTCAGATAAATTTTTGAAATTTTTCCAAAATTTTCACTTAAGAGGTACTTGGGCATCGCGCGCTGGGAATGGCAACGAGTGAAGTCACGGGTTCGACACCTCGATTGTGAACTCCTCGAGACCATTTGAGTGACTATAAAGGAAGGAGCTGTCACCCATCATCGATGAGGACGACGATGGTGGGTGCAGCCATGTAATAGAAACTTTCCAATTTGGCCAATCATCCGGCAAAAACAAAACGAAAACTACAAGAATCGGAAAGATGACGATAGGAATATACAAGCAAAACTAAGATGATGATCCTACGGGATCAATCGGGCCAATACAAGTTGGAACACTAACTACATATCTCTACACACGACAAAACCCGAAAAACGAAACATGCGAAAGAGAAAACGCAGGGTCGTCGTTCGTCTTCCTCACGACCGGCTCGAGAACAGCGCCTCCCATATCTCGGCGAACACCTGCAGGATCACTCGGTGGTGGTGGTGCGAGTTCAGCGCCAGGAAGCACTCGAGCAGCTTCTGGAGTTCCTCCGCCCCGAACATCTCCTTCTCCACTATCATCTCCACCATCGACTGCCGGAAGTCCCCCCGCGGGTCGTTCGACCGCTTCACCACCGCAAAGCTGTCCTCGATTTCCCTGCCGGCCAGCCATGGCACCCCGGCTCCGGCCGCGCCGCTCCTCCTCCGGCGCCGGCGCCGGCGGCGGGTCTCGGAGGAGTCCGAGGAGAGGGAGCGGGAGGAGGAGAGGCGCGCGTCGCTCTCGTCATCGCTGCTGAGCCAGTCATCCCGCGACGTGGTCAACGAGCTGTACGGGCACTTCTCTTTCTCCTCCTCCTTCGTCGCCTTCTTCTTGGTGTGTTCGACTTGACTTGTGTTATTAATTTCTCCGAGGGAGGGCAACGGCGGCCGGGGTAGTTGTCTGACGAAGGGAGTGATAGGCATCGAACGAGGGCACCGGCGGCCGAGGTAGTCGTTGTCCTTGAGGACAGACGGCGGACACCACTCGGACGAGGTTCAGCGTGAGAACCAGGGGTCGTTCGGGGTCGAGGGGGAGACGGCGTCGGAGTCGCTGAAGATGGTCAAGGTGGAATCGGGCGGCGAGGAGGGTGGTCGGGGAACGGGGATGTTGAGCTTTAGAGGCGTAACACTTGAAAGCGAAAGCCTCGATCATCGGTAACTATCATCGGCAACTCTCGACGGTGAACGACTTTAATTGGCAACTCTCAAGGAAAAACACTCAAGGAGAGGAGAGGAATAAACTATTTTATTATGACTTGATTCACCTTACAAATAATTCAACTAGACTTGCCTTTATATAGGCATAATACATGACTCTTGATATGACTCATAAATGACTATACATGTATATGATATTAACTAGATATCGAAACACGAAAGGTTAAGACCAAATACAAACAATCACATTAACTAGTCATTAAAATACGAAAGGTCAAGACTAATCAAGAAAGATCTAGAGAGATAATGTGGTGATATCTTCAATACTCCCCCTCACCGACTACTCTCTCTTAGGACAGATTTTGAAACCATACTAAGTTGAGTCCGAAACTCTTCCTTCAAATTTCACAGCTGCAAGTCCTTTGGTGAAGATGTCTGCAGATTGATCACTTGTCTTGGAGTACTCCATCTTTATCTCTCCCCGTAAAACTTTTTCCCACAAAAAATGATAGTGTACTTCCACATGCTTAGTACTCGTATGGAAAATTGGATTCTCTGCCAAGCTTATTAATGATAGATTATCACAGTATAACCGTGGCAAGTATTCAATTGGTTGATGAAGATCTTCCATTAGTTGTACGAGCCACGTACTCTCTTGAGCTGCCATTGTCGCTACTCTATACTCAGCTTTTGTAGTAGACAGTGAAACAGTCGGCTGTCTTTTACTACACCAGGACACCACCGCTGATCCGAGGCTAAATATGTATCCAGTAGTTCATCGTCGTGTGTCACGATCTCCAGCAAAGTCAGCATCGCAGTGACCTACTAATTCAGACGATGCTTCTTTCTTATACAAGAGCCTAAAGTCAAAAGTACCCTTTACATACCTTAATATGCGCTTGACTGCATCCAAGTGAGACTTTCGTGGTTTCTCCATGAATCGACTTGCTACTTCCACCGCAAAGGCAATGTCAGGCCGTGTTATGGTTAGGTATATAAGGCTACCCACCAATTGCCTCTACATAGTTGAGTCTTCTAGTTCTCGACCTTCATGTGCACATAGCTTTACATTTCCATCCATTGGAGTAGAAATAGGCTTGCAATCAAGCATCCCAAACTTTTCTAGGAGATCTCGGGTATACTTTTGTTGACATAGGAATAGACCATCCTTTGTTTGCTCAACCTCGAGTCCTAGAAAATGTTTCAATTCTCCAAGTTCTTTCATTTGAAACCGCACTAAGACATTGGCTCTAAGTTGATGCATCTCTTCTACATCATTTCCAGTGATAATTAGATCTTCCGTATAAATCAATACAATTGCAAGCTTGCCATCTTCTGCCTTCACAAACAAGCTCGAGTCAGCTGGTGCTATTGAATAACTACTTTGCATCAAGAATTTAGCAATCTTCCTGTACCATGCTCTTGGGGCTTGCTTTAAGCCATAAAGAGCTTTCTTCAACTTGCAAACGTGATTTGGATAAGCCTTGCTCGTGAAACCATCCGGTTGCTCTATGTATATATCTCGATCTAGTTCTCCATGCAAGAAAGCGTTCTTCACGTCCATTTGCCATAACTTCCATGACTTGCTTGCTGCAAGTGCTAATAGGACTCGAACTGTAGTAACCTTTGTTACCGGGTTAAAGGTTTCATCATAATCTAGGCCATACTTTTGAGAAAAACCTCGTGCAATTAATCTTGCCTTATATCATTCTATTGACCCATCTGGTCGAGTTTTAATTTTGTAAATCCACTTGCAAGATATAGGACATACCTCTTTAGGCTTTGGCACCAAATCCCACGTCCCGTTCTTCCTTAGTGCTTGGAACTCTTCCCCATGGCCTTCCTCCATTGCGGGTTGTACGAGGCTTCCTTAAAGGTAGATGGCTCGATTACTCCAACATTTTCAGTTAATGCTGCATTTGCATATTTGGGATTTGGTTTCTTTTGTCTTGTTGATCTTCGAAGTTGAGGTTCTTGCTTTTCAGGTTCTTCTACCAGACATGGTCGAAGCTCTTCTGTCATTCTCGGACGTACACCAGTTCGCCATGGACTCTTTGAACATTCTGGTGACAATGCTTCGACTTGTTCTCCTCCGGCTGCAGGTTCATTTTCATCTTCAATCGGCTGATGCTTTTCGAACTCATCATTTTCTATCATCCTTTCATGAACCTCTTCTTCGATTTGCTTTGAATTTGGCAATTCAGCAGCTTGCGATGACCACCATGATGATAGATCGTCCAACACCACATTTCTAGAAGTGTAACATCTCCCTGTTGTAGGATCACAACACTTCCACCCTTTCCGTTGATCATCGTAGCCCACAAATATGCAGCGAATCGCCTTCTTATCGAATTTGTTGCGTAAATGATTTGGTACAAATGCATAGTATACGCATCCAAATACTCGAAAATGACTTACCGTGGGCCTGCGATTCCACAGCTTCTTATATGGCGACATAAAGCCAAGCCTTGCTTGAGGTAGCCTGTTGATCAAGTGCGCTGCTGTCTTCATATATTCAGCCCCAAATTTAGGTGGAACATTCTTTGCATATAGCATGCTCCTGCAGGTCTCCGCCAAATGCCGATTCTTTCTCTCGGCAACTCCGTTTTGTTGTGGCGTATGTGGACAAGTAAATTGTCGACGTATCTTGCAATCTTGCAAATACTTTGCGAATTCATGAGAAGTAAACTCTCCCCCATTATCAGTACGAAAGCACAATATTTTCTTGCCTGCTTCTCTTTTCACTTTTTCTCTAATCTGCTGAAATTTGTTAAATGCCTGTGATTTTTCTTTCATAAAATCAATCCAAGCGTACCTGGAAAAATCGTCAATGAACATTATCACGTACTTTGATCCTCTGACTAATGATTGCTTTACCGGATCAAATACATCTGAGTGGATGAGTTTGAGAGGCATATTGGCTTGAAATGCGGACTCCTCGTATGGAAGCTGATGTGCCTTCCCGTATTGGCATCCGGCACAAACTACGGCTTCTTGAACTTCCATGTGAGGGAGACCCTTCAGCATGTCTTTCTTCATTATCACCTTCAACTTATGATAGCTTACATGGCCAAGCCGTGCATGCCACAAATCAGGTGTATCACTCTTTCGAGTTTTGTCTACATATGCCGTCGGTGCTGACATCACGTAGATGGACTCAAGTCGACACCCCTCCATGATTGGTATACCAGTGGGTTTCACATCGCGGTACACCTTAACGTCTTTTGGACCAAACACCACATAATTTCCCGAGCCTATAAGTTGAGACACAGACAGTAGATTTTTCTTCATCCCTGGCACATGATACACATTTTCCAGCTCAAACTGATGTGAACTGAATTGCGGTGTTTCACCTTTTGGCCGGCATGAGTAATCAGTAACCTTGAGTTGTCCGCAGTGACAACTACTCGCACACCAGTGTACTCGGACATGTTTGTTAGCTTGCCTTGATCTACGGTCATATGATTTGAACACCCTGAATCAACTATCCAATCAATATCATAATTGATCGATTTATCACTTACCGTAACGAGAGCCGTTGCATCTTTTAACTCGGTAGAAGAGCCTATGAGCTCTTCTTGTTCCTCCATGGCAATAGACGCCTGGAAATCCCACTCCTCTTCACTATCATTTTTCTTAGATGCTGCAACATTTCCTTCAACTCCTTTGACTCGACAATCTCTGGCAAAATGGCTAAATTTACCGCAAATGTAACATCATCCGTTACGTCTTCTGTTGCTTTTATCTCCACTGCTAACTTTGTTGCGATTTTGAAAAGCTCCCCCTGGTTGAAGGCTACTCCCTTCTGGTCGCTTTTGCCAGTCTTCGTGACTTTTCTTCTGTTTGCCATCTCTACTACCAGCACCAATTCTCCTTTGACCCTTGAGCCTTCTTTTATTACTAAAGAGGGCACTTTCATCTTCCTTAACCAAGACTTTAGACATTTGTCTATCTAAAGCCTCTTGATTGGCCAATATATTCTCTAACTCGGTTAGAGTTGGCTCAGTTGCCCATCTACGGGTGGCCGTAACAATACCATTGTACTTCGGCCTTAACCCGTGAATGATGATTCTTCTCATCCTTGTCTCAGAGATGCCATTCTCAGGATCCAGCTTTGAAATTTCATCACAAACAGATTTAATTTTGGAGAAATATTGACTCACTGTCATATTTTGTTGTGACACCGACAACAATTCATTCTCCAACCTTTGCAACTTGGCGTCGTTCGACCTCGCAAATAGCGCTACCAAGTTATCCCATGCCTCTTTTAGAGTCATCGCGCTCTTTATGTTCTGCATTAATTCATCTTCAATAGTCACAGAAAGAGCATAAAGAGCTTTACCCGCTTTGATGTTCCATCTCCTTAACTCACCATCGTTCGTGGGTGGTGTGGTGTTGCCCCTGCCAACAATATCCCACAAATCTTGTCCCAGCAAGTAAAATTGCATGCGGGAACTCCAATTATTATAATTGGAGTTGTTGAGCTTCTCGACCCTGTTCATCGAACTTGAAATATCCACCATCGAACTTGGATATAATGCCTGGCACTACACCAATTCAGCTTGGTCCCAGACCAATGAATCACAGTCCATGTCTTTGCAATGACAGAATTTCCGCGTTCTCCGGTCCCTGACCGGTTGCTCACGTACAATGGTCCCTGGCTCATGGGCTCTGATACCACTTGTTGAGCTTTAGAGGCGTAACTCTTGAAAGTGAAAGCCTCGATCGTCGGTAACTATAGTCGGCAACTCTCGACGGTGAACGAC